TCTGCTGTCTGTTCTCCAGAACTGGTCAGAACCTGCTGAATACCACCTCTGCTTCATTCCGATTATATAGTACTGGCAATCTCAATGGTGGGCACAGTGCTTGTCCTTATCCCTCCAAATACAATATCGAAAAGATTCTGAAAAAAACATCAGTCCAAACTGAACCTAAATCATGGTTTGGGCTTTTAAATCATGGTTTGGGGCTGAAACAGTGACATTAAGAGAAAGCTATGATCATCCCTTGTCACTGACCAATGCTAATGTGCAAAACATGGAGGCCCCCAGATTGCCTAATCTTGAAAGGATCAAAACATATTATAATTTAACTTCTCAGTGTTTCTCTCATGTATAATATAGAAAACAATTTCCACTCATGAAAATAAACAGAACAACAAAGAATGAGTTAATCCAGGGGTGCTGCTAAAGAAAAATATATATCATCTATACATTTTTGTACCAGGAGACAAACTGCAGCTTGAAGTAGACCTATTATATCTAGACTGCTGAATGGCAACTATCTTTGCTATCAGTTTGGGCTCATTTGTATTTTTTCAGCCTATATATGATACACTTCCTTTAAAGAGGCTTCCCCGCTCCAAAAAAAAAACATTCAAAAGTTGAACACCTCCTTTCTTATGTTATTGCTTTAATTCAAATTGGGGATTCCTGTACTGTAAAAGGATCTGAAAAGAAAGAGTAATATATTTTGTACTTCCCAGAAGAACAGTCAGTTCTGAGGAACAAAATCTTTGTCGAACCAGGAATATACTTATCAAAACTTCTCTGATAAAGAAACCTGGAACACATTAACATTTACAGAAAATATTTGGTCTTAGAAGGGCCGGTGATTCCTAATTCAAATAAATAAAAGAGGGTTGCTGTAGAAACAAAATATTTAAAATTTGAACACACAGCACACACTTGCCTACAAATTCATTAGTAGGATTTCTTGTACTTTCAAATGGAAACATTATCTGCCCAGAAAAGGCAATTTGGAAAACTGTGTTTAGTTAAGAAAAAGGTGCCACCACTGGATGCTAAGATATTTTAGGCTTCACAGACATCCATCAAGACTTGCTTTATATTGCCACTTGATGGGAAAAAAAATGTTGTCCCAGGCCACCCAAGGTTCATTTCTGTTGGTTCCCTGGGTCCTTAAGCATTTTTCTGTCATCAACTATCTGCAGCACTGTAAAGGTATTGGGTAACTTAGTCACTGATCATTCAAGCAATCCTAATGTAATGGATAGAATGGGGACAACTTGTCAGTTCGATAAAAATGCATGAATAATTTCAAGGGAAGACAGATTATAAAAGAAGTGCTTAAGCAAAAGAACGAGAAGATGAAGAAATAACAGTGGATTGGCTCTTTTCTGTTCATTTTTTTTTAAAAAGCTTCCTTCTTCCTGGTGGCATTTGCTTTCATTTTGATACACAGAAACTCTACCAAATAATGAGGAAGAGGTATGAAACATGTCTCTTTATAGATGGACAAAAATACTGTTGACCCAACAAACTATTTTTGTTTTAGGTCTGAAGGAAATAGTAATTAGAAGGTTCCAGAAGGTGGAGCAGTATAGATATGCAATGTTCAATGCATGAACCATTTCATGCTCAGAACAGCTGGTTTTGGATAGTTCCTATACAACCTGAAATGGATACATTTCAGCTGTCTGGGGTCATGCATGTTAGCAAATTCAGACAGAAGTGGTTGAGGGGAAAGTGTGTGAATGACAGAAAGGCAAAGGTAGAAAGTGAAGCAAAGGTGTTGAGAAGAACAGCAGTAGGCTAATTAATTGTCTCCGCTGGAAATCTTCCTTATTGCTAACACCAGTAAAGAAAGATATATTGCAATAAGATGATGAGGGTGAAGGTTTGTTCTCTTGAGCTTGTGGATTGGTTTCCAAATACCAGGCTAGGTAACATCTTCAGTAGAGTTTTGGGAGTGTCAGTGTTGTTGTTTTGTTTATGAGGACTTCAGGTGTAGATGTGTCAAGTGAGGATCTTGTGATGGGTCAGCTGTGAGTTGTCAGTGAGTCTTATGATGGTCTTGTGATAAGGAGATTACATAAGGTCAGGGTCATTGGGAAGTGAATTACTGGGGGGGGGGTTAATTGAAGGTCGGTGCTGTCTCTGGTTGGCCATGGGATTGATTTGGATTCTGAGGGGTTCATAGGCTGGTTCAGCTTAGAGTTATGATCAATGTGTCTTGATTAAACTGCCAGCCTTCAATGAATTCACAAGTGTTGTGGTTGATGGTGTGGCTAATGATTTTTGTGTTGCTCCAATCGAACTGGTGCTGTTCAGTGTTGGTATGGGTAAAGATTAAGGATTTGGAATTGTGGTGTTTAAGTACCAGCTGGTGTTTGTAGATCCTGGTTTTTAATTGATATGATGTAGAATTAGTTGTAATTGGCTACAGTTGATCTTGTAGATTACATTGTTTCTTTCATCCTTTTGTATTTCTGTATAAGGAGAAGAGGCTGAGAAGATTGGAGAGCCAGGTCAGTTGATGAGACATGCCATCAGCCCTAATCAACATGGGAGTGAAATGGGTGTAGCTGAGGGGAGGTAGTGAGATGGGGACTAAGCTGGTAAAATATTTTATAAACAGGAGCTACTCAGAATTAGAAATCTGGGTGGATCTTTTTTGACCAACAAATATTATTAAAAGGTATAAGGTTTTATAAACTGAAGCTCATTTCATGGGAAGCATGAAGTGGTTAGACTGATGCAGGATTTAAAGTCAGGAGGGAAAAAGTGGAAGGAGAGAAGGTAGGTTGCCTATGCAGGTTATGTGCAAAGCATTACAATAAATCAACAATTGTAAAGTGTCAGAAACTCCTTGTATTTGTTCAGACCTTCTGAAATCACCCACAACCTTTTGATGTATGCAAGTTCAACAATTTGTTTGAAAGCGCTGCTAAAGTCCCACTCTTCCAAAATGGTTACTTTGAGGTTTGCTGTGGAACATTATATGCTTTCAAGTTATGTTAGCCTTCTTTTGAGTTTTTTTGTCAAACTTTTCTCCACTATTTTTTTTGTCCCTATATAGAATCCAGAGGAGATAGCTGGTAGATGATGACATATACCAGTTGGAGAAACAATATGTGAAGGTGCCTCTAATTTGTGTATATTTGTTGGGGCCTATGATGTGATGTGTATATGCAGGAGCCAATTTTTGCCATTTTGCCATGATAGACTAACAACTGCCTCCTCCTATAATGTCAGAAGCTGCTCAGGGAAGGGAGATCAGTGTTAAATGAGGATGGAAATCAGAGGCAATGTATCACTATGCTCTGCCTTGATGTTATTTTATCCAAACCAGAGCACCCTAAGAAGCCCCAAGTTTCAGCTCTGCTAAACTGTAACCGATCCAAAATAGTTTGATAGAATCTCCAGAACATGAACTTTTGCTTTCAGTTTCTAGGGAAAACTACTGTCTTCCAATAAGGTTATTTATTGATATCAGGTTTATGCATATATTAAGCCATAACATAGTGTTTTTTTCTTAGCATATCTAAAGATATCATGTCTTGTTCAAAAAATAATGGCAAGATGAACAAGATTAGGTGTTGCAATTTGGATATAGTTTATGGTTTAATCTGCCATGTGAACTAGTCATAGCTTACTAAATAATCATGGTTTAACTAAATTTAGCAAGATTAATACATTTTATAAGATTTGCTCATAGTTTGCCTGCTGCCTCTTCTATTATAGCAGTCAGAATTTTTGAAAGGCACAAAATAATTCAGCAGAAAGAGCATAATGTTCAGTTGCATAATGTTCACTTTCAATCAAAGTTTGCTATGGACACAGCTGTAAACTGCCATTTGCCCTGGGGTTATACAAGTTAGATTTTTCAATGATGACAAAACAGAACTATCTATTCATTGCACAGCTTCATGTCCAGCTTCATGTAAGGCCATAGGTATTACTGAGCACAATTGTTTTTGATCCAGTTAAAGATATTAGGACAGAAAAAAAAGAGGGGGATTCATGCTTATTGTCCAGTTACTCAATTTTTTAATGTGCAGAAAAGGCTGAATCACACATTCACAATTAAAACAGGTAATGAACAAGCGCCAAGTAAGGGAGAAGGAGGAAGAGAACAATTTACAGCAATGCAGCAGCCCCTCTAAAAGCATTGCCACTTATATCTACCTAATTCAAGTGTGAAACATTAACCTACTGGTAGCTAATAATTGGGAAAGGGGTGGAATTTGAAAACCATCCTGTGAAGTTTCCCTTTTCATTAAGCGGTTGGCATGGTGGCACAGCTAATCACAAAAACACCCATTTATCAAAAGGTAAACTCAGCTGCTGTCTGCTACCCACCTATATTCTTCTCCCTTTTCTATCCCATCAGTTAGTTCAACTTGTTTGGGGCTATGGAGCCGACTTCCAGATCAAGCACTCAGGTGCAACTCCTTATCACGTCTATGGAGATTCTCAGTCATCCAGGTCATGGTTATCCCAAAGGCGCTTTTTCAGGAGGCAATTGGATTTTCTTGTTTTTCTTTGAAGATGTTTCACTTCTCATCCAAGAAACTTCTTGAGCTTTTGACTGAATGGTGGGGAATGGGAGGATCTATATTCCTTGCAGACAGCTGGTCATTTGCATTCTTTTAGAGCAGGGGTGTCAAATTGGCGGCCTGTGGGCCGGATGTGGCCACGCCCACCCCAGCTCCACAAAGGGGAAATCGTTGCAAAACATCACGTGACAGCAATGTGACACAGTGAGTTTGACACCCATGTTTTAGAGTTGTTGAGGCCACTTGAAAGTTTATCTGTGTCTTCAGGAACACCTGAGTAGTGCAAATGGGTGCGGAGCCTTCTTGGATGCAGGATATCCAGTCAGAGCTGAAGATACTTTTTGGATGAGAAGCAAAATGTGTTCAAAGAAAAACAAGAATGTCCAGTTGCCTTGTGAAAATGTACAACTCCTTACCATGTTTACTTAGTAGGGCCTATGGAAGCCCACAGGCTCCTATACATAAAAGTGATATTGAAGGCAGATGCTGTAGGTATTGACAAGCTAGTTTCTCTCATGTTTTCAGTTAGAAAATATAAGTAAAAATCACTGGTGTGCAGATCCTGATAGTCATCCTCCTTCAGTATTTTGTAGTTGTTCAGTCATTCACAAAACAACAGATTATCAATTATCTTAGGCAAGCTTTTGGAAGAAGCTCAAACTTACAAAATATGTGGCACTGTAAGGGAAACTTATTTCCATGAGGACTACTTTTTCCTTTCATTTTTAAATGCATGTGCAAAAGTATAGAAACACATACTGCTAGATCTCTTACTTTATTATACACAAGCCTTTTTAAGGTCATTACAGATTGGCTGATGAAATGTTCAAATTAGTTTGGACCCATAAGTGGTAGCACCTAATATTCAAAACCCATTTGAGAAAGTTGCTAGATTCTTTATATAAGTATATCAATAATACATGAAGTAAAATCTATCTAATTTACTTAAATAATTTGAGCACTCGTGCTTTACAGCTACTGCTAAAGCAGAAATCTACAAGTTTATTCTTCTAGCTGAATTATAGCAGCAGTGCTGAAGTGATCACGTGGTTCAAAAGACTAACAAAACAGCTTAACAAGTTGGAAGGCAGGAGGGCAGCCCCATGTCTCTCTAATTAACTGACCTGGCTGGATTACTTTGGGACACAAAAGGTTTACAAATCTTCCAGAAAACAAATAAACTTGCATTCAGAAATATCCCTAGTGAGTGCACTTCCTCACCAGCACTCTGCCTTTCCAGCATGTGGAGTGGTACCTAAAGCCTCCATCCTACACCATACTCAAGCAAGTCTAACCTACCACACTGCAAAGTGTGGCTGGTGAAGTTTCTTTTCAGCAAATGACACTGCATGGGAAGGAAAAAAAACAGAAAAATGCACCAATTACTGCCCTCAAATTGGCCCATAGTAAATGTATAAGGGCAGCACCACTCAAAGCCCCCTTATTGGGACAGATTATAACAACTGGGAGACCAATTATGTCATCATACATTTCTGCCAACTCTACCACTAGAAGAATACAGGGGGTCCTCATTTAGTTACTACAACTAGCACCAGCAGCTTCATTATTAAACAAAATGGTTGCTAAGAGAAATGATGAGCTTATGATCTTACTTCAACTTTTCTGCAAAGGTTGTAAAGTGAGAATTAAAATACCTTTTCATTACGACCATCATTTTGTGGCTTTCACTACTTGCTTTCACAGTAAAACAGGCAAAATTAATCTTGATAAAAGTAGTCCTGGATTTAAGACTGCTCATTTAACAGTGGAGGAAAGTTATAGCAGTGTCAAAAAAAAAGTGACTTACAATTCATCCTTGGAGTTGCAACCACTGCATCACCACCGTAATCACAGGTTCTTAATTTGATCCTTGGCAAATGGCTCATATTTATGACATGGATTTACTTAGCAGCTGTGTAAGTCACTTAACCATGTGATTCACTTGATTTCAGTAAAAATGATTGTAAAATTGGTTCCACTCATGACTTGGTTAACAACCATAATGTTTAGCAACTGTTAATTCTGGCCCCAATTGTGGTTGTAAGTGAAGGACTATCTGTATTTGCTGTTTTTGAAAAATATGCCGATGTAAATATATCCAGAGATCTTGCTACATACATCCTAGTGGAGTGCCTTTCAGCTGAAGATCCTGAGCAATCATAACTAGGAATGTAGTTATTCCTTCCCTGTCTTATCTTATGAATGAGATAAGGGACATTGAGAAGGGACATGCTCCTGACTCTTGAAAAATGAGGCCAAGGTTCCTAGATATATATTTTGAAATATTAGTGAAGTTCATCTAACACAGGGCTGTCAAATTTGTGGCCCGGATGCGTCACATCTTGGCCACGCCATGCCTGGTTTAACGAAGGGGGAAAAAGTTGTGATATGCCACGTGACAATGCCACAATGACGTGAGTTTGACACCCCTGATCTAACACAACAGAATGCTGGACTGAATAGCACTGAGTTATTTAAAACAGCTTCGTCCTACCTGCAGTTACAATCCTCTTACTGGTATAGGTAGAAGATCCTACCAAAATCATCCATAGGAGCACAGCTAATTATATTAGATATTTCTTTCCCCCTGCTCCCCTTTTCTCAAAATTGCTCCAGCATTGCAGGAAATAGTCATGGACATGGCAACTACAGTTATAAGTTCTGAAATTGGAAAGGTTTCTGAAGTCCATTCTCAAGTCCTCCTCAAGAAAAATCATTTCTGTTCTCCATTAAAGATAACATTTGCGCTCTGAATTCATACAACATTTCAATTGGTTTTAAACAATAAACAAATAATTTTATCGTCAGGATCACATATTAGCAAGCAGCCTAAGAAAATAATACATTGCTCAATGGAAAGATGCAAAAGTTGTATGTTCTCTTTGCAAGCAGTCTTTCTTCTCTCCTGAGATGATCGACAGTCAAATGGTGAATCTGGCTGGGTCATCACATCCAAGTCAGCATTAAACTCTAGAGCTCAGCAGCCAAAGCACAGTTCTCATTACTTTCAGTCATGTATGCATTGCCTCTGGTTCTGGATATATTGTCCTGAATGTCAAATTTATACGTGGTTCCCTGGAGTGATACTCCTTGGGAACACGGTGCTGAAAAAGATCCAGAACAGATATCAAATTGTATGAAAGGTATCAAATTGTATTTAAAATGAATTTCCTTAGAACTGCTATGCTTGGTTTTCTTCCAAAAAATAAAGAGGCCAAATCCCATCTTCCTTTTGTTCTTTTGTTTTGATTTTTTTTTCTGGTTAATAATACAACATTATTTGCTTACTGCACTATTTCACAGGTGGTAATCTTATGGCTTCTGGTTGTTCAGGGGGAAAAAACGTGTAGTTTTTTTTTGTGACCTATGAAAGACAAGCAGCCCAATCTCATAGCATAGTGGTCCCCAAACTTTGCAGCTTGATGCCCCGGCTGGGGGAGGGAAAGGGGAACTGGGCTGTGTGAGCAGCGGGCCGGCATATATGTGCACAGCTCCACTCGAGTGGAGCTCTGGAGTGGAGCTGAATGTGTGCCACGTGTGGCAGCCTGCCTCTGGCGTGGCCTGGTTCCGAATAGGCCACAGCCCAGTAGTGGGCTGAGGCCTGGGGACCCATCATAGCAAACAATTTTTCATTTCTCCACACCTGAATGTGTTTCAGTGTTGCATTAGTCTCAGGTTCCTATCACAGATGCTCATTGACTTACAAACCATTCATTAAATGATTGTCTGAATTACAACGGCACTAAAAAAAAGTGACCTATGACTAGTCATCATGCTTACAACCATTGCAGCATCTCCATAGTTCACACAATCAGAATCTGGATATGTGGCAACTGGTATCTACAACAGTTGCAGCATCCCGGGGTCACCATTTCCCACCCATTTCCATTAAGTCAATGGGGAAAGCCAGATTCACATAATGATTCACTTATTAACAATGACAGAAAGGTAATAAAATCAGATGTTATTCACTTAACAACTATCTTGCTCAGCAAGGGAAATTCTGGTCCCAATTGCGGTCATAAGTCGAGGACTATCTAAATATAGATCTGTATGGAAAAAAACAGCATTTGTATAATTTTTCTGTAGGCTCCTCACCTGCCAGTCTTCTTGAGTAGCTCCTTCCATCATTAGCAAAGTACCATGGTCCAATGGTATGTGAACTCTTTGCACATAAGTATAATCATTGTTATCCTCCTAAAAAAGATTGATTAAGTATAGTTAATCTACAGTCATAAAATTCTAGAAGTGGAAGCAGCTATTTAGGCTATTTTATTCAACCTCTGCCTAAGTAGATGTCTTAGCTTCTACTTGAATACAATGAATATAGGGAAATAAAATGTCCTTAAGCTAAGTGCTCTCATGACTTCCTAAAAGAATTAATGAATTTGTGCAATCCCTGGTTACTAAATCTAATAATATCCTTAGGGTTAGGCGTGGACCATCGCTACTCTTTTATTAAAGTTTAATCAGATAAAACAATGATACATTTTTCAATTTTATAAACATAAAATAAGTCAGAAATTGCAGCTAGTCCACAATGCGGTGATGCATGAAAGGCAGCATCCTGTAAAGCAGCAGTCTACATGCAAGTAGACTACAATGTGCCTCATTGGGAGAAGATTCTTTCACAGTCCATGAAGGAGAATAAATGATACATCACACGAATTTGGGTAAAAGCCCTGCTGGCCACAGCTGCCACACCTTTCATCAGAAGCTGCAAATCCAGAGGATCCCCAAATTGCACATTACGTCTGCCTGGGGAAAAAATGTGAGCCAGTTTGATCTAATGGTTAAGGCACTTAACTAGAAAGCAGCAATCCCGTGAGTTCTAGTCCCACCCATGAAGGCAGCTGAGAGCCCAACTCACCTCACAAGGTTGTTGCTGTGGAGAAATAGGAAGAGCAAGTTGTGTTGGATATATTTATCACCTTGAGTTATTTGTAAAAATAATAAAGACAGGATACAAATAAATAAAATCTACTGTAGTGGAAGCCCTGGGAACATTCAGATTTGGCAGGGAAGAGCTTAAGCATACCCTCACAATCCCATCTCCAAACAATCCCTGAAAGAAGACCTCAACAACTTGGTCACTTGGGACTGAGATACAGTAGAGTATCATCCAGATAATAATGACAGCAAATTCTGCTTCTGCAAATGACTTCAATCACAATCACAGGCTTAATACAGATGTTAAACAGGAGAGGCAAGAACAAACTGGCCATGAGAGGAAGAGGAGAACCACACAACATTTTTCCTCCCATTCTTAATCCACACAGTGCATTTGGAAAGATACTGGTACCATATTTAACAAGTTATGACATCTCTGTACTATGTCCTGGCCCACAACCCAACTGAAATGGGCCTAGATAACCTACTTCCTTCAGAGCCCTCTGAAGCTTCAACTCAAGTACCTTCTCAATAACAAAGGGAAGATTGGAGACTGAGAAAAATATTCAGAATTGCTGGATCAACTAATGGCTTCTTGAGGAGAAGGCACATTGCCACCTCCTTCAAAGCAGGCAGAATCACACCCACATTAAAAGATCCATTCATCACCATATGGACCCAACCATATATTATCACTCAACAGGAGATATGAGGGGCATGGATCTAAAAAGCAGGTAATGGATCTTGTCCTTTCTCACGGGACACAGGGTCAAATGCTTTCCAGGGAACAAGACAAATTAGTTCTTCTGTCAAATTATACAAAGTGGCCCAGTCAGAGCCCTAATTCCATGATGGCGAACCTTTTCCATGTTGTCCCTAACTCCCCTGCCCCCCTGCGCATGAGTGCGCGACCCCCCCGGCACTGCATGCCTCTGCCCATGCTCATGTAACCCCCTGCACACTTCTGCGCATATGCGTGCATCTCCCCCTGTGCATGCACAGCAGATACCCAACAATCAGCTGGCTGGCGGGGGCAAGTGCGCATGTGCAACGAGGCTCTTCCGGGTGACCTCTTGTGTGCAGGCAGAAGTGGCTTTGTGTGCCACTTCCGGCACGTGTGCCATAGGTTTGTTATCATGGGCCTAATTCTTAGGTTTTATTCAAGAGAGGTCCAGGATAATGCAGATAGCTTTATGATTCATCCCAGCAGAGAAACAGGGCTGCTGGCTAATAGTCATGTATACTACAATGCAATGTCTAATTCAGACTCTTTATTTGTTTAGTTAGATTCATTCTTCTTCTATCCCCAATAGCATACTAAGTCTGTCTCTCTTGTCATTTCACCTCCAGGAACTCCTCAGAAAAAAAGGAAGCTTTTCAGGACTAAGGAAAAAGAAGTTGATGCAATCTCAAGGGCAACTAAAGTCTTAATTGGATTGCCTATCATACCCCTAAGTTCTCTGTGAAATCTATCAAAGTTTATTATTATGGGTCAGCTGGATCTGATAGGTCCAAGCTCTTAGCAGGGATGTGGAAAGAGCCAGTAAGCTGAAGAGGAACCAGAAAGTGATCTAACCATAATGAAGGACGGCTAATAATATCCTCCACCTTCACATCACACCACAACTACACCAAGATAAAAATCCAAGTCTAACGTATGATCCCCACTATGAGCTAGCCTCTAAAAATCTGGGATAGATTCCTGGTTGCCATGAACTCTTTCACCAGTCCATGCTGAACATCACATGCGACTTGAACAGGCAGAACAACAGCAAGTTCTGTTGGTGTGTAAAGTGAGAGTGGGCATGAGTTCCGGCAGCTGCTGGCTTCCCAAAAAGATGGAGAGGAAACCCAAAGGGCATCACCCCTCAGTGTGTCTCTATAGTTCCTGTTGAATTTCCCATCCTCTTGGTGATCTTAGCTGCCCTTCTCTGATATTTATATCCCATCTTTCCTCTAAGGAGCTCAAGCATTATAAACAGTTCTTCTGTTTCCACTAATTCTAGTAATACTCCTGTAAGCATTAGGTAATGACATAGCAATTGGCCTAAGCTGAGCACACCATGCTTATTAAATAAGAAAACAACCTGGAGTCAGATGTCTAATTCTAAACAATGAGATCTCTAGCAACTCTTGGAGTACCTCCAGATAAGGTTTATATTGTATTATATAAACCAGAGGTCAAGATACTGCCATTTTGTGTCCCACATAGTTCCATTACATGCACAGTCCTTTATATTACAAAAGTAATTCAGTTTAGTAGGAAAAAATAGAACTACACAATGTAATTGGTAGAACCAGAAACAAGTAAAAGGAATGATGAATTTCTGCAAGCAGTATTTCTACTATGAAGAAAACATCCAGAAAATGTTTTCCTAGGCTGAAATATTGATAAGATATTAGGCAATTGGTTAAAAAAAAATACTCCGAGGTCCATCCACACAGTGTATCAGACTTGAGAGAGGAAATGCTAGCAGCTTTATTACAGAAATTATTGATGTTCAAGATACCACAATAAATCTGGTTTACAATTCCATTGTCACTAGTTCAAGAATAATAATCAAGTAGCAGAAACTATAAATCACGGGAGATATCACTTTGGAGAAATACCGAAGTGGGAAAGAAAATAAGGCTGCAAAATTTCAGGTCAACAGACACTATTATTTGTGCTTCTGACTGACATAGAAGCCAACAATGATGCATAATGCAAGATATGGCCCTGGAGGTGGCTATCAAGCTTCTGTGTAGGATTGACTTGGCAGGATAATTGGCCTGAACAACTAAGATAGTTATGGATGAATATTTTGTCATGCATCAGTCAAAGCGTGGGAGGGAGATGAAGTAGCGGTAATTTGAGATAGCACATTTGCCAACACAGGAACCAAACTGATCCAACAGGAATGTATTCCCATTGAAAATCTGGGGCGCTGCTAGCATGCCACGAAACTCTTCAAATTTGTGGTATAATCAATGCAAGGTTCTGACTTTTATTAATATTTAGCACAACACTGACATTCAACATATCTGAAATCCTTTGCAGAAAACAGATCACTGTCAAGAGCTATCACCTTAACTATTATCCATCTATGAATCTCTGCACCTATATGTTCCTTTCTTTTAAAGTTAACAGACTTACTACTTCTGTAGTAAGATACAAAGAATCTCTCTGCTCTGGTAGTTATCATAATGATATTTGAAGCTGTTTTTACTTCCACAAGGACCCACTAATTTATGAATTCATGTCTCCTGCAGCCTTACAAATCAAACCAACATCCTATTTATTTCAGTGTTTTGCTTTTAAAATCAGCCTCATATTGGTTTTTTACAGATATTTTTTTCAGACATTATGACCAAGATGAATACTCCAATCGTTACATAATCTCCTGTTAGATATGTAGACATTCTATGCCTCATTTACAGCAAGGGATAAGGGAACCTGCAGCCTCCCAGATACTGGACCACACCTGCCATCATCCTCACTTAGAGAAGCAGAATGGGAGATTCATGGGTGTGTCACTTCCAATTTGGTACAGCAACCAAACAGGACAGGTACAGACTCCAATACATAGGACTGCAGGAAAAACAACTTTCTTTCCATAGAGGACCTATATATTGCACTGGTCAGGAGGGCTGAGAAAATATCTACAGACCCCTCATATCCTGGATACAAACTGTTTCACCTCCTCCCCTCAGAAAGTCACTACAGGCCATTCCATGCCAAAACAACTAGATACAGAGGAAATTTTCCCCTTGAGCCATTACTCTGCTGAGCACCTAATTCCCACAGTACTGTTCTATGTCTGAGTATATTCATCATGTGGTATGGCTGTATCCTTCTCATCTTCTCCACTACTTCCTCTTATTAGTGTCATCATTATTAAGATTACTACTACTCTGTTGTTTTGCAAGTACACTGAGAGCTTCTGCACTAGAGACAAATTCCTTGTGTGCCTAATCAAAGTTGACCAAATAAAGTATTCTATCTAATTTATGGAGAATCTGTTGTCTTGGTTTGGGCTATGCACACTTAATATTCACCCAATAGACATAGAAGAACTTCTGAGTAAGAACTCATATGCATAAACCATTATTACCTTCTTATCAATAAAACAAAAGGCCTTCTTTTCTGTTTTCTTTTAGCAAATAATTAATACACTTAGTATTCTTCAGTGGAGAGGATCAGACTTTGTTCAATATCTTACTGGAAAAAAACAAAATTATCTAGAGGCTAATCATGGATAGCCATTATTATCTAATATACACACCTTAACTCCTCCTCCTGCTACCTGTTTCCTTGGTTACAATCTTAGCGGCAGAGCTGCTGCCTGCCTACTATTACAGTTTGGCTTCAAAGCTTTCAATTTACATTGCAGTATAAGCTGAGAAGTTAACTGCAGTGAACTAATTCTTCGAGCAAATTCAGGGCTGTGTAGCAAAAAAACCCAGCAGAGGTAAATTTTGCAGATCAGAACATTTACCATTTATCTCAGCTGCGATATGTATTTATTTTTGGATGTTTTTATTTTTTAAATGCTTTTATTGTCTCAACTGTTTTTATAGTTTTAGAACTATAAGCCACCCAAAGTCACTGGTTGAAATGGGTGGCTACAGAAATCCAATGAATGAATGAATGAATGAAATCTAAGATATTTATTCTTTCTGAAATGAAAAGCCAAATTGCATCCTGAAAAATTAGTCACATTACATGTCATGTGTTTCCAACTCTATGTATATTACATTTATGCACGTATCCTTTTTGCAAGAAATCAGAATTCAATGTTCAAAAAAAGAGGTACTGAGCATATTGAGTAAAAAGGGTCCATTATCTTTTGTATCCTTGTCAATAGTCAAAGTTTTACTATAAAACTGCTTTTAATTTTCTAGCCACCTCATGCAAATCCCTGTCATCTGCAAATCTGATGATCACCATAGGGATTTTTTCAGATGCTTTCCTGAAAAGAAGACATAATATGGATAATACGTATTAAGGAAATTTATCTGATCAAAATATGCAATAATATTAGTTGGCAAGATTTGTTCTTGGCAAATCCACGTTGACTTTTAATTATTACCCTACCATTTTTAAGATGCTTACAAGCATCCACTTCTTTTTTATCTATTCTACAATCATCCCAGGCACTGATACTAAACTGGGCTGATCCCCTCCTCTTCCTTATGGAGCCCCTCAAATATTGAAACAATAGTGGTGAATCTCTTGGCTTCCTCAGATAAGCTCACCTGACACTTTTGCCATCAGAGTAGAATACCACCTCTGAAAACAAATTCTAAAGTTAAATCCTCACTGGACCAATAAATATTTTTTTCTTTTTTCTTCTACTAGAAAAGAACTTTCAAGGTGTATCTTGTTAATTATAATTTAAATCATTAAAAATGAATATTGCAGCTTATCATATTTTATTCTTTTATAAATTACTCAGGAATGTATATTGATAGTGATTAAATAGATTAAATATTGGAAGATATTTCAAGACAAGGTAGAGGAAAAGGGAGTCTTTTTATGGAAGTGAAAAGACTCCTCATGCCTCATACATTGTGCATCTCACATTATTTCAAATTATTGATCAACTAATGTATTAAAAGGTTTTTGTAATGGGTTGTTTTAATTCAATGTGGAAAAAACTGTTTTCATCTCTAATCATCATCTTCACTACCAAACTATTCTATTTTCTATGGAAAATGAACCTTGGAGCTGGCTTTAAAAAATTGTCAGTTATCCAGGGAGCAAAGAATGACAATAGATAAAGTTTGTACCTAAACTTTTCGTTCAGAAGAAAAAGAAATTAAAAAATGGTCTTTAACACCAGGGGAAGCCAATCAGTTTCAAATCATTATTCCATTTGTTTAAATCTTATTAAACATTTGTTGTATTTCTCTATTTACTTATCTGAACGGATTTAAAACAAAAGATTGAGGTCTTCCATTTTAAAATTGGAACATACAGTTTCTGGATTTTCCAATCAGGTACAGTATATGATTAGAGCAAATGAGAATTGAACTGAAATTCTGCAATGTGAAATGGACCAAGTTAACTTGGAAGTCTGATAAATCAATTTGAACTCTCCCCCCGACATCAGTTTCTTTGCCTTAAATGCAATAAAACAGTGGTTAAGACCAGGTGACTTAGTTGTCCTTGAGAGGGGATATATTTTATATTAAATCAAATGTTACAGTTCCAATTTTGCAAAAGCATTTTTTTTAAAAATAAATATTTAAATCATTATTTTAAAAATTATCTTAATTAGAACTGGTTGATACATACTTTGCCAAATTTCTGCCTTATGAATATAGTCCTTAAGAAGCAATAAGATCATCTGTTTTCCTTATTTACTAAAAACAAATATACTATGGCAAGACTAATGATTCAATTAGTAAGAGAAAAAACTCACTCAAGTAAAATATTATATTGAATCTGCAGTAGATTAAGTCTTACCAGAGGTTGGATATCATTTTCCCCTTTGTGAAAAGAAAAATGCAAACAAAAGTTTTTCCAGTAAAACATTTTAGTATGTTCTAGATATGCATTAATTAGTTCAGTACACACAAGAAGTCGCCTTAAGAAGACAGACAAGTGGTTTAGCTGCAAGATTAATTGGTAGTTGCTAAACAAGAATGCAGTATCAGAAAGGACTATGGAAATGAAGGAAGCTTGTACTGAAACAAAATGCAAACAGTATTTTGCTTTTGGAGAGCAAATAATGGTCAACTGCATACTAAGTGATAATTAAAAAACTTTTTGGAGTGTTTTTTTAACAAGCTCTAAAAGTTTTGTTACAACAAAACTGCCACATGTTGAGTCAGTAGTCAAAAACACCAACGTGGAGTATTATTTTGTATTGTGCCAATATGTCATTTGGGTTATCACTGATAATATCCTTTAAGCCTGGCCGGAAATATGTTGTTTCTTTTGCTATAATAAATGTTGTTTACATTTACTAGGGAACAAATGCAGCACTGAATGCCAAAACAATATTTAATATTAAGTTAATGAGCATCTCAATAAAGAGTTTAACCTATTTCATAGCATACATGTTTTGTTATTCAGAACATATATTTAAAATTAAAAATTTGGGAAAAATTTAAGTTCTCTTCCTGTACATCAAACTGGCCTGATAAAGGAAATATTTTGCAGAAGCCAGATCTTCTATAAACTCATCTGATTTTTAATTAAAATTAATTTTTATTGTTTTAAATATATGGCTGGGCCAGCAAACCCATTGTCAACGAAAGTGCAGCCCATCTCTGACTAGAATTCCTACCCAGTGGAACCCTGAGAGTAAAATTCACTCAGTTTCTTGTGAAGGTAGATGGCCCCACATAAAAATTCTGATACCAAACATGGGAAGAGTGATCCACATGCTCAGATTGGTTTTTATAACCTTACATTTATGTATCTGAAAGTAAACAGATTACTGATAGAACTTTACTTTCAAGGGAATCTCAATTCTGATTCTATGATTTTTTTCCATTCAAGAACAATCTCCTTTATGATTATCAGATTCTGAGCAAGTTTTTTTCCACTTGCTTTGAATAAATTAGAAGAACCTATACAATCATTTACTTTAAACACTGACCTACTACCAAAACATCCTACCCCTATTACCAAATAGCTCATCAAATGCTATTTAGAGGTATGAATTGGTTAGTAATGGACTGGGTTTATGTGCTACCCAGCCATTTTTATATATGTGCATCAGAAAGAGCTATATTGTATTATGCATTTAAAATATTTAAAATATGTGTTTCAACTTTATTACATTCCAGCTTTATAAACTCACAGGCAGAGGCTTCTTCCTCATCTCAAACATCCGGGTAGCACCAAAGCTAAGTGATGCAATTACGGGGTTTTTCCCTAGCGCAGGCTCATCATCACTATGCCAGTCAACACTGTTCTTTTCATTTTGGTAAAGGTTACACAGTAGGGAGTTGAAAGTATTCTTAGTGAAATCTTCTACAAGATCCTTCAACATGGCCAGTAGTGGGTGCCACTGAAATCAGAGGGGAAAAAAAAGGAGGTAAACATCGCAAGTAGAAGCAAAGTCAGCGCCCAGTAAATAAGGGAGCTATATTGCTACCAAAAAGTCTGTTTCCAATTTTAATATTAGTAATTTGGAACATAAGGAAAAATATTGTACCTAGAACCTAAACTTGTGTTCACAATTTAAGCATAAATAACAATCTCTCATCTTATATATGTAGGAGCATATAGCAGTTAAGTGGTTACACTCTTAAGAAAGTGGGCAGTTTGTCAATATTTCTTATAAACTAGAGTAGGAAGTTAAAAAACAACAACCAGCAACCAAGAAGAAGATAACAGTAAATCATGTCTGTATTACTGACAAGAAAATGGACATATGCATGTAACTGTCAGGAATGATTCTGGGTGCAGCTCAAGGTGCTGTGACCAACACATTTCAAATCCTATATGGACTGGAGCCAGGCAATCTCAGATTTTGTCTTCCCAAGATGTCCTGGTAGAGAGAAATCCCCACCATTTGTAAGGTGGCTGAGAGAGGACTCAGAGGCAAGCAGTCTCTGCGGGAATACTCCTGTACTCATATAAGAACTGTACCCTCACTTCTAACATTCAGGAAGGTCTTGGTAGCATCCCTTTCCCACTGTACATTTGGAGATTCAGGTGAGAAAGGGAGATGTACCTGATGAATCCTGTTCTTTTGGTGGCACAAGATGTCTTGACTTACAAGAACTCTGTTGGGTTTTAAGTGGACTATATTTATTGACAACTTTGACAATGTGTCATTGTAACATGAACTGTATTTCTGTAAGCTATTTAGAGTCACGTGACTGAAGCAGCATTTCTTAATAAATAAACCTTTACATTATACAACTGTATCTTTACATACATATAAATACACATTTTTGCATCTGATGTACTAGACCCCTAGTTTCTTATATTCTACAAACAGACAGCTTGTGAAATCTTTTGGGGCTTAAGTGCCAGAAAGTTCATTAATATCTGATTAAATAATGTAAAAGCTTCATGACTAGCAATGTTCTTTGAGGCTCATCAAAGCTTGCATGTTTTGGAATATCGTAATTAATTGGTGCTTGGTCACAGCATTTTCTATTTTATGCCTCAACTATTTAAGGATAGTCCTCCTTTAGGGACAACTGGAACTGGCAACTCAAGTCATTAACAGAAATGGTCACTGAATGAAACCGAGACTGTTCTTATGATTTTACTTTCTTTGCTTCACAGGTGCTCCTCAATTTATGACAACTGAGCCCAAAATTTCCATTGCCAGGTTTATTTAGTGAATCACTGCTCATTACTAACATGGTTGTCAGGTGAATCTAGCTTCCTCATTGACTTTGCTTGTCAGAAGATCACAAAAGGTGATCACACGATCCTGGGACATGGCAACCATCATAAATACAAGCTAATTGCCGAGTATCAAAATTATGATCAAGTGACCATAGGGATGCTGCAATGGTCATAAGTGTGAAAAATGGTCATAAGTCAGGTTTTTTTAGTGCCGTTGTTAACTTCAAATGGCCACTAAATGAATGGTTGTAAGTCAAGGACTAGCTGTATTTACCTATGACGTTTGCATATGTAAGGATAGGTCACAATTTTTTCATTATTGTCATAACTGTGAACGGTTGCTGTACAAGACAGTTATTAAGAGAGGATTACTTCTAATGTGTTATATATTCATCTTGTTGCAGATGCATATTTGAATTGCAAAAATTAAACCAGTTACAAAGTTGCTCAATTGGCAAGCTGCCTATATAATTCTTAATGGGAATTATAGTTCAAGTTACAAAGAACATTTCTAGAATTTCCTCAATGGTTTAATATCTATATTTGGGGGGAGGGGTGTTTCCCTTAGCAAACTAGGACATAAATCATAATTAAAGTCAGAATTAGCACTGCTATTTGATAGGAAAAACAAGCGTTAAGTTCCTCTCTCAATTTTAACTGAAGTAAGGAAAAATATTGTATGATTTCATTATGTGGCATGAAGAGTGAGTGACATTTACTCTGTTCTTTTCCTATACTGCCCTCCAGTGTTTGATAAATGCAAGATTCTTTTTTTCTTCTGGAAAGAATTTTCCATCCCTGAACAGAAATTCAGGTAAGATCACACAATATTTTAAAGTATATATTAATTAGGCTTATGTCCTACAGAAAACTCATGGGCTATATCTGTAAGTCAAAGGTTGGGAAGAAATCCTAATTAAGCAAAGGAACAAGAGGACAACAGGTTGAAAACTGAAAATGAGACTCAAAACAAATCATAAGAGATACTCTGTGAGTACAAACCACTACCAAAGTATGCAGACATTAAATGAAGATCTTTAAAAAAATATTCCATTTTCATACTCAATTCTCCAGTAACTGAGCAAGAAGAATGCATGTTTAACTGTGAAAACAGCATAGCAGATGGAACAAACCAAGCTGAGTATCTAATTCTCTGCTCAATAAATGCATTCCCTAAGGTCCTCAGCAAGGCACAGTAAGAATACTTTGTATTAAATATTGTTTTGCGAAAACATCAGGTGCTTACTTTTTAACAAACTTCTATTCAGGAGAGGGGGAAAAAATGGCCTTGAGAGTCAAGAGGAAGACTTGCTATGACAATGGTCAGAAAAAGAGGCCTTAAATCTAGGGCAGAAATTAACCTGAGTAAACAACTCAGACAAGATCGACCTTAGTAGCCACAACGATAAAGGGAGGGAGGAGGGAGGCACATTCACACTTGCAAGATTCTGTTACTATAGTTTATCAATAAAAGTAGTATCACATACACAATACTGGATTCCTAGTCTGATCTACCATGAAAGGATCACATAATCTCTTATGAGATCACGAAAAATTTTAAGGAACAGCTTGGTTTCTGTTTCAAAGATAATACTGTAAAGATAATTCAGCTGTGATTGAAGGATTTTCCACTAAAAAGACAATCTGCCTTATCCTGTCTCAGAGGATTTACCCCATTCACAATTCTCCACTGTTGTGTCAAGAAGTGGCTTTGCTGCTCTCTGATTCCCACCCCCTGTATCCAGTTGAGTTTTATTTTTTTCTCCTTGCCTGAAAAGAAATCACAGTGAAAAAGGAATGCCTCAAAGTCAGATCACCATTGTTATTACGGCTTTGTAATTTTATTTTTCAACTTTAAAAAACTCAAGATCCATACGTACATCAGGGTTTGCCTGCATTTCAAGTCTGGAATAGGTGTAGGGTAGTTTTCCATACCATGCTGTGAGTCTGGGTTCATCGTAAGATCGATCTATAGGAAGAAAATTGGATTCAATAATTAGGGCTACTATGGAAACCAATAATATATGCTTATAAAGTTTGCTGACATTTGGGGAATGAATGACTTAATGATAACTCTTTTAGCATTTTTTTTTTGCTTTCTCTAAATAAAAAATCTGAGCAAATGAGATTTTTAACTTGCAATTCATAAATAATACAACCAAGAAAAAATTATTCTAGGCTATTTGTACATCAATGAAGTCGTTCTGTTTGAAATACAAATATCTAGAAGGAAATTTGAGAAATAACACAAATGCCCTCAAATGAACTAAACTCAAACAGCTTATGGTTTGAATGTCATGGTACTTATATGCAAATCCAATAGATTAAAAAAAAGAACAGAAAAAGGAACACAGTTTGTTGTCTGACCAACTGAAAACACGCTGTTGTAAGAATCTGTACTACCACAGAAGGTGTAGTCCTAACTTCATACTGCCTGTTGAAATTCAGGAATAGACAGACCAGTTCAGAGCTGAAAAGACAACACTGAATCTTCAGCTTGTCTGCCTTCTCAGAAAAAAACAGTCACCAGCAAAACAATCAACCAGTATAAACAAAGAAAAATCACTAGTAGGTGCACAGAACCTTTCTGAACCTTTAGAGAAGGAAAAAAAACAAGTAATGGTTTGTTTTGGCTATCTCCTCAAACCAAACAAAGCAGGTTAGCTCTAAATCTGTGTGCTAAGTGGAGATTAGAACTGGTGGCAGAGGGCCAGGTATTTTGCTGTCTGCAGTGGATTCTACTAGAGTGAATACTTCAAGATTTACTGCTGGGCCTTGCAAAAAACAGTTAAAGGAGACTGATAGCAAAGCTACCGTGTCTAAGGTGTGTTCTTTGCCTCCATGGAATTTCGTGGAACAGCTGATCAAACATCCAATCTGCTTCACTCAAGGAAATGAAGCCAGGAATCAAATGAATCCTAGAATAAAGAAAAGTCACATTACATGTTGATATTTTCTGATTTATTTCAAACTAAGACATTCCAGGCAGGTTCTGTGTTATTTATTTCCATCAAGCAAAGAAAACAAGTGGATTGCTAAGAAAAGAGTACACCACCACCACCACAATATTGTGAGTTGCTTAGAAGCTATCCAGCTCTTTCACTCCCCACTTGCTTATGTTTGTTGTATTGTTGGAGATTTTTTTTAAGCACACATTTTTTTTCTTGTATCTTGCCTGGAGGACAGAAAATAGTCTCATGGCATCCATTTGGGAAATAAGAATAGAGAAGTAGAAGAAAGGAGAAGTAGAGTAAGTAGATGATTTATGCTGAAAAGGTGATTGGGAAAATATTGTTAATTCTTCTAGACTTCTCAATAACCTTCAATACTATTGCTCATTATGAGGCAATGGCATTGAGTCAATGATAGGCCAATGCAAGCATAATGTTATAGGGTTCCAGGTCATTCAGGAGAGACATTTGGAAGCTATAGATTCTTTGAAGCAGATAAGAGGTCAGTGAGGATATACAAGTCAAAATGTGCATTTGTGTAATTTGAATCTGATTTGTGTAATTTGAATCTAGTTATAGCACCAATTAATAAATAAAGTTAAAGATAAATGAAACAGATCTGGAATTTCATGTAACACATTTTGAATCACTTTGGCTCTTGTATAAATAACATGACAATAAACAGAAGAGAGAGATTACTTTTTCTGAACACAAATCCTCTTCTGTAAGTGGTAGGAGCTCTCTGTAAGTTATTCTTCATTAGAAATAAAAAATTAAGTTCAATCATGTTCTTTTGTTAGTGCAAATATTTTTTATGCATCATGGAGAAAGTAAGATTTGGAAAGGAATGAAGTTCAATGTTCTGCTAACAAAAAGTCTATGGGTAAGTTCCCAAGCCTTGCAAGCAGATATTTCTTCCTCTTGTAGCATTCTTTGGATCCAGCAGAAAAAAAAAAGATTAAATAAGCCAGATACAAGATTTACTCAACAGGGCAGGAGAAATACTCAAAATATTTGTCAGCCTATTCTTATTGTACAATAAAGGGAGATTCCCAAGTACGTTGCCTTCTGCTTAGGGGTAAAAAAAAAAACCCTCAGAATTTTAAATCTAGCAAATAAATATATAACATTGTTGGATGGTAACTTATAGGAATGGTCTTGACCCAATGATTCTTTTCACCTGAAGATTTCGTAAAACACTGTTTTAAAAAACAGCTAAACTTCCACTACATTGTAGACTTATAAGGTATCTGTCAGAAAAGAAAGCCAATATGGACAGTGTTACTAGAACAAGTATCTTTGATTAAAGGTAAAAGGATGTGTTTAACTTAGGTGAAAGTTATTTATTAATACATTTTATTAATATATTTCTGTACAATACCATGGTCCTCCATGTCTGTTGTCCTTTGTAACATCTTTGCTATGACTTAATAATAATTCAAATAATTGAAATATAACCCTAACAGAACTATTCTGCAAGAACACACACACAAAAAGTGTTAGATACTTACTTTGATATTCCTGAGGGCAATGTGCTGATCTCATATAGACCCTGTTTTCTGCAGTAGAGGAGGGGAAAAAATACATCATGGTTGGGTAGACATAAAAGGTTCAAACTATTAATTAGGGTTAGAGAAAGAAAATTAACCAAATTGAAGGGAGTAGGAGTAAAAACATATTACAGGTAATCCTTGACTTGTGATTATTCATTTAGTGACAGTTCAAACTTGTGACAGCACTGAAAAAAGTGACTTATGACCTGTCCTTGTACTTATGACTGATGCACTGTCCTCATAGTCATGTGATTGCATTTAGGTGTTTGGCCACTGGAATGTATTTACAATTGCAGCATCTTGGGAACATGTGATCACCCTCTGTAATCTTCCCAAGGAGCTTCCAGCAAGCAAAGTCATTGGGGAAGCCAAATTTGCTTAATGACTACATCGCTTAGTGTAAGAGCAACCAAGTCAAATGATCAAGAGATACCGGTATTAAAACGAACTAAAACTGAAAATACTCACTCTATTACTCTGGGTTCTGGGACTTTGCATACAACCTAAGGATTAAAAAACACCATATATTTTTAATTTATTTATTTATAAATAAATAAATAAATAGTTTACTTTGGGGGGGGGGAGTGTAAAAATAATTAAATATTATATATTTTGCAACCAAAGTGACAAATATTGCTGAAGAGTCCAATAATAATTGTTTGGTTATGCTGTTCTATGATGCTAATGCATCTGAGTTGGGAGACTATTTCTTTAAAGAAAATGCACACAAGAAACGATTAAAATGTGCTTTTAAAATCAGCTCAGGCAATTATATATATATATACACACACACACACACACACACAAAGCAATAACAATATAATACAACATTTTTACCTCTTCAGGTGCTTTAAAAACAAACTTTCTTTTAGATGAAAATTCTGCCTCTCCTTGAAATGTGGATGGTGCTGAATTGGCAAATGCTGGATTTCTAGCATTAGAATTTCTAGAGGCTGACACAAGAAGGAACAGTATCAAACTAGATAACAAGAATTTTCATATTTTCAATGTTATTTAGTAATCTTACTTTCAAATTAAGAGTACATTCACACACACAAAAGTAACATTTTATCCTTTGGTATTTTTACTTCAAACGGTGGTGTGGTGATGCTGGGCTTCTCAGCTGAAGAGCCGGCAATCCAGGTTTGAGACCTGAGCGCCATGTGATGGAATGAGTTCCAATCCTTGCTCTGGCTCCTGCCAACCTAGCAGTTCAAAAGCATGCAAATTTGAGCAAATAGGTATCACTTCAATAGGTAGGTAACAGTGCTTCATGATATCATGTTGGCCTCATGACCCATGAAAATATCTTTGGACAGCACTAGCTCAATGCCCTCGAAGCTGCCCCCTATAGTCGGCAACAACTAGTGGAGTAAAATCCACAGGGAATCCTTTACCTTTTACTATCTCTACTTCAGGAACTGTGATTTTTGTGAGGGCTCAAAGTTTTGAGAGCAATTATTTCTTCCACGTAGAGCCCCCATGTGTGAAGTACTTTTGAAAATCTGATATTAAAAATAATACAATCTGAAATCAGGTTTATTATTTTTTCATGTTCTTCTTATGAAGATATGCATGGAGGCTTTGAGACAGGCTAAAATAAGCATATGAATCACTTCTCATGGTTTCATTTCCTTCATGCTATTAATGAAATCTATACCTTTGTGTTGAAACCACATTTTTATAGTTCTAATAAAATCTATTATAGCAAGCTCTATGGGGTTTTTAAATAACATCTTAAAAACTTATACCATAATCCTATATTTTAATTAGCAGTAAGCTTCAAACATTAAATAGGATTTATTTCTGAGGGACCATGCATACAATTAGACTGAAGTGACCTTTACTTAATTGTTCAATTATCTGAGCCATGGGGAAATATACATATTAATGTGTCATATTTAGTGAACAAACATTTGAAAAGTCTCCTATTTATCACAGTCAAAATTAGGTCAAAGGTTTCTAAGAACCCAGATCAATAATCACTGAAGTTAGGAAACTGTTTCTAGAGTCTCCATTCTAAAGATCTTAGGGAGGCAATTAAAGGCCTTGTTTTGACAGTCTCCCTTCAGCTGTAGAGATGTAATTGTTTTAAATAATATTTTATTTCCAGAAATGAAAAGCTAGCATGTTTCAAACCAACCACCATCCTCAGGCATTTCTAATTACCTCTCTGTTTTACAGGTTTGGGAGAGGGAAGTGATCAGGAAGTATACCTATACCCCTTTATATAGAAGCACAATAAAACAAGGTGGTAAAGAGCAGGATAAGGGAGATACATATCAATCTACTTTGGAGGTTTTGTCACAAGTGACCATTTTCTGAGAAGGCCATGAAGATTCCAAATGTTTCCACTAGCCTCTAAATCAGAGGTCTCCAAACTTGGCAACTTTAAGACTTGTGGACTTCAACTCCCAGAATTCTCCAGCCCAGCTCTGATCTTAAAGTCTTAAAGTCGCCAAGTTTGGGGACCTCTGCTCTAAATTTTTGATGTTTTTCATTAAAGCAAAATGCCTTGTGCCGCTAGTACACATGGTCAAAAAGACTTTAATGGCCCAACAAGCCAAAAAATGTTTGATCTAAATATCTGAGCCCAATAGTGGGTCAGTAGTCAAAAGATAGCTAACTTGAAAATAAAATAACTGTCAGAGTAGCAGCCGATAGAAATCAATCTAGTAAACTAGTTCATAGACCGAAGGGGCAGCATAGAAGAACCCCCTTCTGTAGTACTTATGGGCAGGGAGAAGATCTCTATGAATTGGCAGTAGTCTTCCTGCTAGTCAATACGTTTAATTTAGTTTATTTATATACATTAGAACAAGACAGCATTTACCTGAACATGAAGTCATTCTGCTATTACCCTGGTTGGCCCAGCCACCCTGGACTCTGGCTTTCTGCCTTTTATTTTCCATTACTCTTCTTTACCAGTCTTGTTGTAAGGTGTTTAACATTCCTAAATCAAAATATATATATTAACACACTGCTAAACAGCTTAGATCTTAGTTCCTATTGCTTTTGAAGAAGCGGGTAACAGGGTATAATGCATGAACAGAAAATAAAGAGTATTTATACATTACTAGGAAACAAAATCTCTTAACATTGCATCATCGCTAACGATAGGTAATAAACTGCCTTCCATCCAAAATGCAGCAGCACCCAAGTTCAACAACCTTGCATTGTTTTATAGGAATAGGTCCTGTTAAGATCAAAAGCCATTATTATTGTTGTTATTGTTATTATTTTCAGTTTTTCTTAACCAGGAATTTCAAGAAATGGCTCGGTGTTTGCCTGACAGGGCCATCAACTATCCTGGGCAAAGCAGGCCCAAGGACATCTTGTAAGAAAGCAACCTCGTGTTTACATTGGAAGTAACACGGATATTAACACTGCAGATTGAACTGCTGCACACTATAGTCCATGAGTGCAGAACCAACTCCTTGCTTGGTGCAACACCAGCCAAGGATTATGGGTCCTCGGATTTAATAAATCCTGAGGTCACTTATGTGGAAAAAACGGGAGCGGGGAGAGTGAACAATAAATCAGGCTTAGATTTAAGTTATATCGTTCTGTCTTCCTCCTCCCCACTCTCTTCCCACCCCCACCCCCAGACCCAAAGCACGAGCTCTAAAATTCCCCCGGCTACAGTACCGCAAGGCTTTTAACACTTTTAATGCCTCTTTCCTTCAGTCCACCTTCCCACTTTTTTAAAAAAGAAAAACAAGCGCTTGCAGACAACAGAGCTACTCACACAAGCGCGCCACCAACAACTACACCCTCCGCCGTAGGCGACCTCCACCAAAGAGCGGGGGGGGGAAGGGAAATAATAATTAAAAAAAGCCCTCCAAACCCACCTGCGCGCGCACTTTCCGAAGGACCCGCCCTTTTCTCTACGGCATTTTTTTGAGCAGAATAAGCGACTTCCTCGCGCCGGTATCATTGGGCGGTAAGACGTCCTTCGCCCCACCTACCGTTACGTCTCCGCTCCTATCCGCGGATCGAAGCGTAAGGAGCGGGAGGCGGGGCTGCAATCGTTGTCTTGGTAAAATTCTTGGAATCGGTTCTCCGAAGAGCAGCCTCGCGATGCTCGTTGGAAAACTTTCCCGGGTCCCCACCCCGGTTTCCTTCTGACTAGCATGACTAGGATGTTTACGGCAGGATCTGAGCGGGAGACTCTCGGCCGGCTGCTGTTTCTTAGCAACTGGCATTCTGAGACGAGATGCTTAATGACAGGCTGCATAGCTTTACCCTCCAAGTTTTCATCAATGGTGTTAGCAGTTTCGCATTTTAGGCTTTAAAATGAGAATTAGCTTTTACAGTTATCTCTTAAAGATTAAGTGTGCCTGGAACTCCTGATTTATGGCTTGATCTGACTTGTTTACTTAAAAGCAAGGCTGTGATGCTTACTGGAGAGGGAAACTAAAATAAACGGAAAGGCTTTAGCCAGATTGTGACTTAAATCGTTTTCTACGCTTGTGTTCACTTTTTTTAAAAAAATATTTTGATGCACACTCAGAAGCAAGCAAAGAAAAAAGCCTAATGTTTTGCAGTCTGCTAGTGATCAACCCAAACCTAACAACCAGCCCTGACACTAAAGGCAGAAATAGGGTTTATCTAAGAACTCTTTGTTGCAGACTGTTGTATGAAGACACATCCTTTTGCCAAATCTGAATCTGCCTTCATTTCAAACTCACGAAAGGAGTTAGACTTAAATTGTCCTAAGCAGGGTTGATGCAATCTAATACATTTTGCCAAGCCATTAGATTGGAAGTGAAATCTGTTTACCAATATAGCTAGGATCGACCCTTGTAGACTATTTAAAAAGTATATGGGCAAATCTCTTGACCTCTGGTTCTAGCTTCACTGGACACCATGCAGTTCCCCCCCAAAGAAAGCAACACAATACCTGTGATGTATCAGAATTGCACAATACCTGACCATACCGTGGGCTTTAATGGTTTATTGCAAAGCTGAAAAAGCATACACCTGCAATGAAGGAAATCCCCTCTGCCACCACTCCCCACCCTGCTCCACATAAAGAGCCCACAGAAATATTGGAAGTTGGCATTTGCCAGGATAAGGAAAAGGAAGAGTCTCTTGTGTTTGTGATGTTATTGTAAACTAAATCATTTGTGTCAAATACCTAGTATTGTAACTGCCCACTGCAGGTAAAGCCAGGAGCTGGAATTAAGATAACTCAACTTTGTCTGTGCTAGTGTTAGAATACTTCGACTTCCTTGGACAAACCTACAATTGGCTTCTGAGGCCTTTGAACTATGGTGCTGGAGAAGACTCCTGTGAGTCCCTTAGACTGCAAGGCAGTCAAAACCACTCAGTCTTAGAGGAAATCAACCCTGACGGCTCTTTAGAAGGCCAGATCCTGAAGATGAAACTCAAATACTCTGGCCACCTAATAGGAAGGAAGGACTCACTGGAGAAGAGCCGAATACTGGGAAAGATTGAGGGCAAAAGAAGAAAGGGACGACAGAGAATGAAGTGGCTGGATGGAGTCACTGAAGCAGTAGGCATGAGCTTAAATGGATTCCAGAGGATGGTAGAGGACAGGAAGGCCTGGAGGAACATTGTCCATGGGGTTGTGATGGCTCAGACACGACTTTACAACTATCAACAACGTAAAATGGAGAACAAATCCTGAACAAGTGTTGATAAATGTTCCTATTTTGCATGAGCAAGTCTGACTTGTTTTTTAAATAAGTTCCCTCTTAGGAGGGTGAAACCAACAGCTTCAGAATACCTGCACTAAACCAAAACCAAATGAAGCCAGCCATATGTTATACTCTGCTTTATCTCTAAGCACTAGTATTTATACAATTTCTTATTGAAGCAGCCCTTCAGTGAATTGTGGGAGGGAAATAATAGAAAGTGTATACCTTGTGTGTTAAGATGCACACTGGTTGACAGCATGTGTCATTGTTTTCTGGTTCCTATAATTGCAGTCAATGGCATTCTCACAATCCTTTTTGTACTGATGCGCTGTAATTATTCTTATACCAGCTAGGCCAGCATTTTAGGGCTTTTCGTGTGACATAAAGTTGGGATTGTTTTTGTTTATTTGGTAAAGTTGTTTTTATATAGAGGATTTTTAATATTTGTGGTAGTTATGTTCTATAAAGCCACCACAAATATTGAGTTAGCAAATGCCGAAATAGATTGAGAATGTGCCTGATAACATTTTCAACACACTGTATGTCAGTAAGTGATCAAAAAGTGCTATATTTATTTTAGTAATTAAATATTTATGCTACCCACCTCCCGAGTATTCTCAGGTGACTCAGTATTCATTTTGTGATTGCAAATACATGTTAGTGAATAGGCAAATGGTAAATAACAATTGTATATCCTGTTTTACAATGGTGAAAAAGAGCCATCTAAGCAAGGATGTCAAATTGGCAGGCCATGGGCCAGATGCATCATGTATAGGCCCCACCCACCCAAGCTCTGCGAAGGGGGAAAACATGATACACCATGTGATGGCGATGTGCTCTTGTGAGTTTGACACCCATGATCTAATGGATCCAATTACAGGCAGAGGGAATTCTAAGGGCTACAAAGAAAAAAAAAAGGACTCAGGAGTTTGATGGCTGGAGATCCCAGTTTATCCACCCTTCACTACAAAGTTCATTTTTCTTTTATGTGGTGTGTTAAACATCAGAAACCAAAATCCGCAGTCAGCATGACTGCAGCAAAAGAGAATCCTATTCCATTATAGAAATTTAGAAGTACAGATCATGTTATGTCTCCTCTTGGAAATTCAAACGAACAAACAGAAAGCAGCCATTTCACAATCAAATCAAACTGAAGGAAGTAACAAGATAAGTGCTGACAGAAACTGTTAGGACTCCCCTTCGAAAATCAAACA